CACGCGGCCGCCGAACGAGCGCGCCATGGCGGGACGGCGCGGGGCCCGTTCCCGGTGGGCGTGTCCCGGGAGGGCGTGTCCCAGGTGGGCGTGTCCCTGGAGGCGGGACCGTGGCAAGGCCTGCCCTCCAATGGGCGCGGCCTGGGTGGGGCGGGTATGGACGGTAGGCGGGGCAGGGACCAATGTAGGGAGGAGCGGCGCGTGGGCGTGGCCTCTAGGGCGTGGTCTTTACAGGGCGGGGCCAGACTGAAGCCAGACAGGTGCAAGGTCTTACAGAGAAGCTGTGTCGAGGGATCCAGGAGCTCTCTAAAGGGGACCTTGATGGGCGCGGTGGCCACGCCTGTGATCCCAGCGCTAGAGAGGCTGAGGCAGGAGGATCGCTGCCAGCCTGGACTACAAAGTGAGCTCACGGCCAGCCTGAACTGCATAGCAAGACCTTGTCTCAGAAAGACACACACACACACACACACACACACACACACACAAATAAAAAAGAAAAGGGGACCTTCCAGCTATCCTAAGCATTGACTTTATTTTCTTCCTTCTTTGGTCTGTTTTGAGACAGGGTCTCGCTATGCTGTTCAGGCTGGCCTTGAGCTAACTTTGTAGCCCAGGCTGGCCTCGAACTTGCAACGATCCTTCTTGCTTCATTCTCCCGAGTGCTGGGATTACAGGCGTGAGCCACCACGCCCGGCTTCAGTTTATTTTCTTAATAAATATATTTGAGGAAAATATTTGAAGCCAGGCATGGTGGCACATGCCTGTCATTTCAGCACTCTGGGAGGTCGAGGCAAGAGGGAGGGTCGAAAATTCCAGTTCAGCCTGAACAATTTAGCCACTTAAAAGAGACCCTGTCTCAAAAAGACAGAAAAGGGCTGGGGACACTGCTCAGTGTGAAGGTCCTGGGTTTAATCCTCAGTATAGGGGTAAAAAAGATATTTGACAAAACTGTGAATAGTCATGTTTTTATTATTTCAGTCAACCCGAGGACACTGAACTAGTGGATGTCCTCTCTGTCTACCCCCTTCAAGGCTTTGAGGATTCGACTTCTCCCCCATTATGCCCATCTGAGCCCTCCCCAACCTACACACCACGTTCCCATGGTGCTTTATAAGATATTACTTTACGTTTTTTTGGTACCGGGACTCAAACTCAGGACCTTGCACTTGACAGGCAGGCACTGTGCCACTGAGCTGTATCCCCATCCCCGGCCCTTAAAATGTTACTTTTAACCTTAAAAAATTGAGGTGAGGCCAGGTGTGTTGGCGCACGCCTGTAATCCCCGCACTTGGGAGGCTCAGGCAAGAGGTTTGCTGTGAGTTCGAGGCCAGCTTGGGCTACATAGTAGGCTGAAGACCAGCCTGCATTACACAGTGAGACCCTGTCTCAGAAAACCTACAAGAACAAAAAATTGAGGTGAAATTTGCAGTATTCCCCAGATTCAGTACACTGAGAGTGTGACACCATTACCTCTGTGTAATATCAGAATACTTTCATCACCCCAAAAGGAGACCCTGCCCCCTTAACGTTCCCCCCCCCAGCCCCAGCTCCTTCCAGCTGCTAGGTAGAAACCACGTTTCGTCCCTGTAGATTCGCCTGTCCTGGTCATCTTATAGGGTAGGGTCACACACCGTGCGGCCTTTGTGCCTGCGCTCGTCACTCAGCCTGTTTCCAAGATTCATCCATGCTGTCATCTAGGTCAGTGTTCCATTCGTTTTCACAGGTGAGTAATATTCCACTGTATATGACTGCTGATCCCAGCCATCCAGCAGCTGTGGATATCTCCTTGTGGTTTTGATTTGCATTTCCCTAGTAACTGATGACGTTGTACATCTTTTCCTGTGCTTTTGTTGGCTGTTTGTACATCCCTGGAGAAAGGTCTGTTCAAGTCCTTGGTCCACTTTAGCATGGGACTGTCTCTTTTGTTGTTGAGCCACAGGAAGCAGGTTGTTGTTTTACTTTGTTTGCAGTACCAGGGATTGAACTCACGACCTTGCGCTTGCCAGGCAGGCACTTATGCCAGTGAGCGACATCCCCAGCCTGTTTTACCTTGTTGTAGGTGTTGAACTTTGGATTTGCCCCGAGCTACATCACCAGCTCCATTTTTCATTTTCACTTCTTATTTTGAGATGAGGTCTTCCTAAGTGCCTAAGTTACCCAGGCTGGGCTCAGAGGTACAGTTCTCCTGCCTCAGCCTGCCAGAGCGAAGGGATGACAGGCGTGCGCCACCAAACACTGCTTCACAGCGGCCTTTCTCACTTTCCTCCTCACGGCCAAGGGTGGGGAGTATGTGGAAGGGGGCGTGGCCATGAACGGTCATGGGCAGGGTTGAGGCTTGGCCAGGGCCAGGCCCGGGCGGGACAGGGTGCAGGTCCGCGTGCAGGCGGGCAATCTCAATATGGCTCCCGCTCACCTGCGCTGATTGGCTCCCGAAGGACGCATAGAAACGTGGCCCCTGAGGGCTGTGTTCAGAGGCAACATGGCATTAGACAGGGAGCACGCAGGGCCGCTGTCACACACGCCACGTCACTGAGGCACCAAAGCTGAGTGCCGTCCGGAGCCTCAGTCTCGAGGGGCGCTCGGGCCTGGAGGTCATCCGGAATCGAGATGCCTGTCCAGTCCCTCGCCCCACGCCCTTTGCAACCTGGTGAGCGCCCGCCTCCTCCCGCGGGGTCTGTGGGCGGGCTCAGGGCCCGGCCCCGCCCCTTCCTCGGCCCCGCCCTCTGTCAGACACCCACCGGTTGTCCAGTGGGAGGTCACAACAGCGCCCAGGTCCCGCCTCCACCCTCTCCACAGGCCCCAGCCCTCCTGGTCATCCAGTGAGGGGTGGCAACAGCTCCCAGGCCCCGCCCCTGCTCTGTGGGCCCCGCCCCCTGGCCAGCATCTTGAGGGGGGTCCCAACAGCCCCCGCCCCGCCTTCCTCCTAGCCCTGTCCCTGCCCCAGGGCCCCGCCCCACCAGCCGTCCAGTGACAGTTCACAACAGCACTCGGCCCCGCCCACCTCCGACCCGGCCCCGGCCCCGGCCCCGCCTCCTGGACGGCATCCTGAGGCGGGGGTCCCAACAGCCCCTGCCCCGCCTTCCTCCAAGCCCCGCCCCTGCCCCAGGGGCCCCGCCCCTCCAGCCGTCCAGTGACAGTTCAGAACAGCGCCCCGGCGCCGCCCTCCTCCGGCCCGGCCCCGCCCCGCGGGCCCCGCCCCCTCCCGGGCTCCGCTTCTACGCGGTACTTGCAGCGGCGCAGAGGCTCGGTCAGGCTGCGTCGCGGCGGCTCGTCCAAGTCCTCGGGCGGCAGGAAGCTGCGGTCCAGGACCTCGGCCGCCTCCTGCCAGTTGGCGAAGCAGGCGGGGCCCAGGCGCTGGATCTCGTCGGCCGCGTCGCGCGTGAGCACGCCCCCGTCGGGCTTGAGCACCACCACGGCCGGCAGGCGCCGCACGGAGAAGAGGCGGCCCAGGTCCCTGCGGGCCGGGCGGGACAGTGACGCGCGACTGCGCCCCGGGGGCCTCGGCGCAGCTGCGCCCAGCCCTCGTCTGCGCGCAGGGCTGGGCTCCAGCCTGGGCTCCTCCTGCCTCGGCCTCCCCGCCGCGGGGCCTCACCTCCGCAGGTCGTCCTCGAAGGGCAGGAACAGCCAGCGCTCGGGCATGTCCCTGAGGAACAGGGCCTGCTGCTCCGCCGTGGCGTCCTGCGACACGTACACCAGGGCCAGCTGCGCGGCGCGCACCACGTGGAACTCGTCCGTGAGGCGCACGAAGAAGTCGCGCAGCGTGGGCGCGAAGGCCTGGCACCGCGCGCAGCCCTGAGCGCCGAAGAACAGCAGCAGCAGTCGGTTCTCCAGCCGGCGGCCGTGCTCCGCCTCGGTCTCCAGCAAGTCCTGCTCGCTGTTGTTTCGGACCAGGACGCGGCCCCAGAACAGCGACGCCATGGCGCGGCCGCCCGCCGGGAAGCCGGCTCAGGACTGCTAATCCCGGCCCTGACCTGGATCCCGGCCCGGGAGGCCTGGGGGAGGGGAGGCTGCTGGTGGGTCACGGGGGCCACAGGAGCGCCCTCGCGTGGTGGCCCCAGCACTCAGGAGGCTGAGGCAGGAGGATCGCTGCGAGTTCCAGGCCAGCGTGGGCTACACAGCGAGGTCCCTCTGCCCGCAAAAAGAACACAGAGTTACTGGGCGAAGTACAGTCATCCCTCTGTATCCAGGGACGTGGGTTCCAGGACTCCGTGGGTCCCCAAATAAGGGAGGCTTATATCCCTTCGTTAAACTGGGGCAGGATTTGCAAGGACCCTAAGCGCGTCCTGCCTCGCATTTACCTCGTCTGTAGGCCACCTGGAACCTGGCGCGCTGCGAACGCTGCCGGAGGAGTGCTTACACTGTTGTCTAGGACTAGGGACACGGGAGCATGGGAACGCGGGCGGCGCAGAGTCCCCCTTTACGGGGCATGAGCCCAGGGCCTTCCCGCTGAGCCCCCTCCCCAGCCCTTTATTTTGACCCTGAGACAGGGTCTTGCTAAGTTGCCCAGGCTGGGCTCAAATTTGCCATCCTCCTGCCTCAGCGTCCCAGAGTGCTGGGAGGACAGGCATCCAGCACCACTCTTGGCCAGATTTTTTTTCTCGTTCGATCCTCAGCCCGCAGACCCCGGGGCCAAATGTAATCTTGCGCGGGAAGAGCCCTCTTTGGGGAGCAGCGGAGCCCGTGGGTCTCCTTCTCCAGGACCCTGCCGGGCGGCCGCTTTTATCCAGGGCGTCCGGAAGCCCCGAGCCTGGGAGGGGCCGGCTGCGGCGGCCACGCCCGGTGGTGAGGAACATTTGTCCCCGTGGCAGAGCTGAGTGTGTGGACCTCGGCTCTGCCTGACCGTGGTTCCCGCGGGGCCGCCCGTTTCTCTGCAGGCCGCGCTGTAACAGGGCGCTTCACTGCGCCCCCCCTCCGGCCACTGGGTGGCGGCAGCAGCAGCCGCGTGAGCCCCAGAGGGCCGCAGAATGGGGTCGTTGCCAGGGCCCGTCGGGGCAGAACTGGCCCCTCTCAGGGAGATAAGGACAACGCTAACCCTTTCTGCTGCCTTGGTGGGGTGAGCAGCGGCTTCCCAAAAGAGTTCGTGGCCTGACCCCCAGAACCTGTGGATGGGACCTGGTTTGGGAAAAGGGGTCTTTGCAGGGGTCCTTTAGTTAAGGCTCTCCAGATCAGGCCCCCCGGGATTATCGGGGTGGGTCATAAACCCAGTGACAAGTGTCCTTAGTAAGAGACCGAAGGGCCGAGGGTGGTGGTGTACATCTGTATTCCCAGCACTGGGGAGGCTGAGGCAGGAGGATTGCACATTCAAGTGCAGCCAGGGGAAACTTGGCAAGACCCTGTGTCAAAAAACAAAGAAATGGATGAACAGAGGTTTGGAGATGTAGCTCACCGCAGAGCCCTTGTCTAATCGCAAGGACAGAGACAGGGAGACTGAGACAGACAGAAGAGATGGAAGAGGAGATGGCCTTGCGAGCTTGAGCAGAGACAGGAGGGTCTTGGCCACAGCCAAGCTGGCCAGGGGTCACCTCCACTGGGAGGGCACCAGGGCCTGGCCCGGCCTCCGAGGAGGCTTCTCGGTGGCACGATGACGTCGGCATGCAGAGAAGTGGTCCCCGCTGTCTCAGTGCCTGGGCTGTAGCCGCTCTGTCACAGTGACCCGGGACACCCATGTATCCAGTGCTGCCGGCACGCCACTCTGGTGGAGAGACTCGAGCCCCTGCCCCGCAGCGCGCAGGTTCGCGGTGCGAAATCCGTGCTGCCTTGGAGTTTATTCCAGCTCTGCTGCTGGGGTCACCGGGAAACCGGAAGCCTGGTGATCAGCGGTCAGGTGACCTTGCAGCCTCAGATCTTCGGTTAAGGAGCAGGGCTTCGGTCCTTTGTTTGAGGTCTGTGGGGATGCTTACCAGTGGGGAATTCTTTCTGTTTTTAACTTTGAGATGGGATCTCACTATGTTGCGTAGGCTGGTCTGTAACTTGTGCTCCTCCTGCCTCAGCCTCCCAAGCGGCTGGGACTATGAGGTGCACCCGCTATGCTCCACTGTACCTCTGGGCCCCAGCCCCTGTGCTCACCAAGGTACACACAGGGCCCACAGCCTGGGGGTTGAACCCACGGTCTGAGGCTCGCTCGGCAACAGCGCTACGCCTGAGGTACCTCCAGGCCCTGGAACTGGAACTGGGAGTTGTGTATCTTTCTTGAAATACACACAAGCCCAGGATCCCAGCACTGGGGAGCCTGAGGCAAGAGGCTCACCATAAGTTCGAGGCCAGCCTGAGCTACTTAGTGAAACCCTGTCTCAAGAAACAACCTCCCCCAAATAAGACGGGGAAAAAAAAAGCTGTGCTTTAAAGCCTTTTGATTGTGGGGTGGAGAATGGGGAGCTGGGGGAGAAACAGATTAGGTGCTGGCTGGGTCTCAGTACAGCTGGTAGGAGAAAGTGGGGTAAAGGAGGGACTTGGGCAAAGGGGCGGAGGAGAGCAGCGGGGAGAAGGGAAGGGAGGGGCTGGGGAGAGCCGGGGCAGAGGCAGGGCAGGGAGGCAGGGGTGCAGAGCCCGCGCTTGTGAATGAGTGGGCCTCCGAAGGCTCAGGCTGCTGGGCCAGTCCTCGGTCAGCCTCTCCTCCGCTTTCTGTACTGAGGACTGAGCCCAGGACCTTCACCCCAGCACCTTCTTCTTTCTGTCATCTTAAGAAAGGATCTTGCTAAGTCACGAACTCGCCATTCTCCTGCCTCAGTCTCCTGGAGTGCCGGGTTCACAGGCCTGGCCGGCCACCACACCCAGCTCTGTCCTCAGTTTTACTGACAGGTGGCTGACCGCAGCAGTGCCACAGGGCAGGGACGCAGCTGTCCTGTCCCGTCTGTCCCTAGCCCGAGAAGACAGCGCGGGCCAGGCTGGCTCTGGGCCTGTCCCCATGCGCGTCCTCGCCCCCCCAGCCCCGCCGCGGTGGGGACCAATGGCAGCTGGGGCAGGGAGAGCCGCCCAGCCCTGTCCTCCGGTGGCACTGGAAGCTGGCCCTGGCCGCCTCCCAAGGAGGGCGCAGAGAAGGTCGACCAAGCAAGCGGGCAGAGCTGGAGGAGCAGGCGGGGCAGAGGGGCTGGGAGGGCGCCAGGCAGCCTGGGCACCGCCGGGGACAGAGCGCTGAGGGTACCCACAGCTCGGGCTGGGTTTGAGGTCCCTTCCCTGCCTCGGCCTCCTGCCCGCGCAGCTTCCTGCCCGCGCGTCCACGCCCAGGGGCTGCAAGCGCTCAGGTCAGTCCTGAGTCCTGGCCGGGAGGGCTCTGGGGCGAGCTGCGGCCTCGCCCGGTCCCCTGTGGGTGCTGGAGGACGGGGCCCTGCTCCTCGGGGTGAGGCTCGCTGACTGGCTGCTTGGGGCTGCGGATGGAGGCCGGCCGGGGCGCATCCAGCACCTGCGGGGGGCCCTAGGGTGTGAGTTTAGGTCCCAGGCCCCTAGTGGGTGTTGAAGACCGAGAGGCTCGGGGGCTTGGCTTCAGGACAGGCTGGGAAGGGTCCAGTCCCGGAGGGCGCGAGTGCGGGCTGCGGCCTTGCTCGCTGGCCTGGCCCCAGGACCACGCCCCCAGGGGACCCACGTGCTCCCCGCACGCGCCAGGGCTCGGCTGAGGCCTGGTTACCCTGGAGACGGCGGCCATCCTTGCCGGCCGTTCTAGCCCCGCATCTCGTTGGTCGAGGGCTCTCTGGCCCAGAGCGGGGCTCTCTGTGGTCGCGGGCTCCGGAAGAGGGCCGGCTTCGCTCCGCGGGAAAAGGTGCGAGAAGCGGGACAGGTAGGAGGCGCGGCTTGGGCGGGGCTTAGGCTGCGAGGCCGGTGCGCCGCGCTCCTCCTAGGGTGGCGGCCGGGCGCGGACTCCGGATCCTCCGCGGCGGGGGCGGGGCTCGCAGGTAGGGGCGGGGCCCGGCTCAGCCCCGAGGGGGCGGGGCTGCCTGGGGGCGGGGCCCAGGGACAGCGGGAAGTCGGCGGCCGACGGAGGCTGTGCGGGCATGGAGGCGGGTCAGGGGACAGAGGACAGGGCCTGAGTCGGGGCAGGGCACAGGTCTGGACGAGTGACTGAGTACGGCTCGGTGATGTGGCTGGGAACCAGATGGAACCTGGGCTTGCAGAGCTAAACTGGGGGCTGGAGCTTTGCTCCCAAGGTCGAGGCTTGGGGCCGGGCCTAGCAAGGACTGACGTATGCAAATAGACCTGGGGGCGGTTCCTGTTAGAATGATAGCTTGGAGGCGGGGCTCCTGATGGGGGCGGAGTCTACCCAGAATAAGGCCAATCCCGGGCCTGGGGCGTGTCCTTGTTCCTAGTAGACTCGCTTAGGTTAGGGCAGGGGGCGGAGCCTCGCGGAGTTGCGGGGCGTGGCCAGGTAGGGCGGGGCGGGGCCGGGCGGGGCAGGGGCGGGCGCATAACCCGGGCGGGGCGGAATCTGGCCGGGCTGGCTGCGGCCCTCGGGTCCCAGAGCTCGCGTCCCCGCAGGATGCGGTTCCCGGGCGCGGGTCCGGCCTCGGTGGCCTCGCTGGCGCTGCTCTGGTTGCTGGGCCTGCCGTGGACCTGGAGCGCGGCAGCGGCGTTCGGCGTCTACGTGGGCGGCGGCGGCTGGCGCTTCCTGCGCATCGTCTGCCTGACGGCTAGGCGGGACCTCTTGTGAGTGTCGCGCGGGTCGACGGCGGAGGGCGGTCACCCCGGGGTCCCGAGGGTCGGGGGTGAGGGGCCGGGGCGGGGCGAGGCCGGGGCCAGAAGCGGGGGCGGGCTGGGGCTGGGGGTGTAGGTGACAGATTGGGGGTCCCTGTAGGTTGCAGGTGGTCCGGGCTTTGGGGGCTGCTCTGGAGACTTTGGGGTACCCAGGTGGAAACCCCGGGGCCTCGGGCAGCTGATGACGTCCCAGGAAGCTCCCTGGGGCTCCCGGTGTGGCAGTGGTCCCCGGGGAACGGCAGCGTCTAGGGGTCGCCTTAGGATTGGGGTGCTGCGGGACCCTCGGAGGTGTGTAAAGGCGCGGTGCTTCCCGGAGAGCCTTACAGGTTCCTGCACGCCTAGGGTGCGTTTGAGAGCCTGGAATCTGTGTGGAGCTTTGGGGGTGGCCGGGGGGTTGTGGGGGGCCCCTGTGTGATCCAGGACTTAGGGGATCTCCGGAGCCTGGCTTCCCTGGAGGGATCTGGTGTCGCCTGTATGTAGGGAGTCGTGGAGGACTCGGGTCTCTGTGACTTGGTCAGGGAGCTGCTGGGGACCCTACTGGGCAGGAGCAGGCCTTCCTGGGGTTCCTGGGGTGACTGTGGGGGCAGCCCCAGGCAGGGCAGTGGTAACTGTGTGTGCAGGGCTGGTGTTTGCAGGGAGGTGCAGGCGCTGTACCCATTTTAAGGATGGAGAGACTGAGGCTCAGAGAGCTGCAGAGGGAGTGAGGAGCTGGTGGGGCCATGTGTGCTGACTGCCCCTGGGCTTTGTAAACTGTCCCTCTTCCGGGCACCGCAGTGCCTCGCTGCCCCCACCCTGGTCTGTCCGAT